AGACGGGCAACATTTACCTGTACAGGTGAGTACCTAAGAGGGGGGAGTGGAGATTATACGAAACTGAAACTGACAGAACTCACCAACAGAGATAGAAGCGTACCTGCGCGTGAGCTTTCGCTGGATGAGCGACGTCAGATGAACGCCAGGGAGAAGGCCCGCTTGGACCGGGTGGGTTGCGTGTCCACCACGCGGTACTCGCAACGGCGGGAACGCGCCCTAAAGATCTACCTGGACTCACCGGAGAAGTCGAGCAACGTGACCGCCTCGGCACCGATGGATGTGCATGTCGATAACTAGTGTGGCCCCGAGTTGAACACAGTCCTCGACCCAAAAACTAAAAAAGAGTACACCAAACTATGTATGTAGCGAGGACAGACAGACCATTAAATCTCAGATCCTGTTATAGTCCACGGCCACATATCCTGTCGGCTGAAAATGCTGGTCGTGTTTTCTATACATTGCCAGCAGCAATTGCGTATTTTGTTCTGTTGTTTATTTTGTTTGACGCAAAAGAAGGAAGTCGGCGGGATGGGCAGAGCGTACTGAATCGGACTGGACTGGACTGGACTAGACTAGATGGCACTGGATACGGGGTCAGTGGCTGGGGTGGCTGGATCAGCACTAAGCGACATTAACCATAACGAAGTTATTCTTGCAACTTTCGTAACACCAGAGTTCAAAGATGAGACTGTAAAATTTAAACTAAACATGCAAGAAATCTAAATTACAAATTGTATAATGTGAATGTGAACATCAAAACTAAATTAAAAGTATAAAATAAACACAACTCTCAAGTGCATTTATTACAATCACAAGCGTCTCGAATTCGATTAGACCCTGTGTCTGGGGCCCCAAGGAAGTGAGATAAATAACAAAACCCACTTGGCATTTATCGGTTGTTTTATAGAAAATGTTAATTTTATTTAATACCTACTACGCAGCGTTAATAACGTTTCTCATGAATTATATTTTAAGATCATTTTAGCGTTAAAATTGTTACAATTTGACGACAGTTCTTGCTTTGCTTTGCTTTTTCGTTGCGATGATGTTGAACAAACCGATAAACGAAGGCAGCTTATAGTAAAGGAAATAAAGAGGTAAAGTTGGAGCGGTACCACCGCCCTGCTGATGGATGGAGGATTTGTTGGGGGAAATGGTTCTGCGTTGTTATTCGCTGCTGCTGGTGTGAACAGGAATCCTCAAATTGTTGCCAGGTTCTGTTCTCTTCTGTTGTCAAAAAGGCTTTAATACGCAACGAATTCGATAGTAAAAAAACTGTAGAGCGGCAGCGGTAGGCAGCGCAATTGTTCACATTGTGGTTTCCGTTGTTGGGTTGGTGGTGCGGATCTGAATCAGCGGTCTGGTCTATGCCTTGGTCTCAACGGCCGGCGCCGTTTCCACCTTTGTCGCCGCTCCAGCTGATGCTTTCTTGCCCTTACCCTTGCCCTTGACGGGGCCCAAAGGCTGCGTCAGCAGGGTCTAAAAAAAGGGTGTTTTAAATAAGTACCTGTCGTGACATCATATAGGAAAAGTACACTTACCTTCAGCTCCTCCTGCGCAACGCTGTACTCGCTCACGTAGTTCTCCGCCTCGAATGGGATGCCGGTGACCAAGTTGACGCCGTTAGGCATGAGCAGAACCGTATGCTTGAACTGCGCCACAACCTCGGCTGCAATTCGAGAGAAAGCAATAGGTTGTTAACGTTTTGATATGAATTTTGGTTTCAAAGATTAATTAACAAGATTGATAGAAGCTTTAAACTTAGTTGTATAGATATAGATAAAGTAGTTAGTTAGTTGCAATTGTGACATTGGCATGTTCAGACAGAGGCCACACTGGGGCAACTGCTGAAGACGCCAAGGCCTGGGCTTTGTTCTAGCAAAATGTCTGGCCGTACCTAGCACCCGAAGGTGTACCAAATCCGGAATTAAGTTTTGCCAACGATATAATAGAAAGAATGCTCAATATCACACTTACATGGCTTCTCATACAGCACTTGGAAGGGCTCAATCATCTTGTGCGAGACGCACTCGACGACTCCCATGCGAGCCTTGGTCTCCTCCTCGAAGCTGCGGATGTTGAATGGCATGTTTCCGTACTTGGTTTTCACCTCTGCCAGCAGGGCGCGGGAAGCCTTCAGCTTGAGCATGTAGTTCTCCTCAGACTTCTTGTAGATGGAGACCTTGGTGTCCTTCTCGCGTCCCTGCAACGAAAATACGAAAGCTAAGCAATTGTTTTCTGGCCCATCCATTGGGAATCTTCGCATCTCTTTGGCGTTCTCAGATCTCATAATCTAGCTATCTTCGGACAACAGCTGGCTGGACATTGGTGTCTACGCGTGCCGAGCTTACAAACAAAAGCCCGCCAAGCATACGAGATGCTTACGCAACAAACTCCTCACTCCAGCCTAGTCAGCCTCAAGCGCGTGTTTTTAATCATTGAACAAAGAGGAGAAAAGATGGTGTCTTTTGCTGGATTACTAACCACTCCTTCGCCGGTGCTGACGATGACATCGATGGCATACACCTCGTACGTGTCGAAGGTGCACTTCTCATGCTCCTTGCGCTGCGCCTCGCTAGGGTTCTGTATGATCGTCTTCTCACCGTCAATTTTGAACTGCTTCAGCTCGTGACTAAGCATGCCCTCGATGGGCTTGCACTTGTACGACTCGCTGATTTGTTGCACGGCATCGGTGAGGGAGTAATTCTGTTAGAAAAAAAAAGGTTTAAAACTTAATCTTCGAGTTCAAGATCAGTATAATAAACTAGTGCATTAATGTTAATTGTTCTTATTTACAAATAAAAATAAAGCAATTTAAAAAACCGCTACAGAGATAAAGAAAACCTTTCGACTTGGCAAAGGCAATTGAAAGATATGCCATACTCAATCACCTATCTTAGCATTTACTAGATAAAGCACATATAATAGAGCAATCATAAATCACTAATCGGAATTCTCGATGCGATTGTGGACAACTTTAAAGACCGAACATTTCTGAAATATAAACTTGTTCAGTTCACGAAATCGACACTGCTATTCTGTGCAGGCGTTGAGCTGTACTGAGCCATGGTTTAAGCAGCAGCCAATCCGTTGCCTGCAGAATACAATTCTAGCCTACTCTGTAGATGTGGACAACTATAAAGACCGAACATTTCTTTGCAATAAACTTGTTCAGTTCACGAAATTGACGCGTTTTTTTCCGCAGGCGTTGAGCTGAACTGTGCCAAGGTTCGAGCACCAGTCAATCCGTTGCCTGCAGAAGATGTAACCATGTGGACAACTGGCATGGGGCAACCAGCCCTAAATATTAGGCCAGAGCAAATATCAGCTGCCAACTGATCTTCGCAAGTGTTGAGACGTTCAGTCGCGTGGATAAATGCGCCAGACAATCCGTTTCTTGCGAGGACTAACTACGGATTATTTAGAACTTTTGGCGGACTTACAGTGGCGCCGGACTTTAGCAGCCGCAGGGCAGCCTGGACAGCCCAGTAGGCAGCGAGGATGACATCGGCCTGGCGACCACTGATCTTCTCATTCGCTCTAGCGCCAACCACTATTGTGTGAGCTGCCACGGCAATGAAACCATCAATGTGGGCGCCCAAGTCACTATAGAGCAGGAAAACGAAGAATTTAGGTTTGGGATAAGCCAGATAAGAGGCAAGACTTACATTTTAACCACATCGCCGGCCTTTAACGTGTAGTCCGTATCGTTTTTGGCTGGCGAGAAGTGGCAGACACAATTGTTGACGGACAGACAGGTGGGAAAGGCAATGCCCTTCTTCAGGTCTTTCTCCTTTTTGTATACCTGTCGAAATAGAGGGATTCATGTTAGTTGGGTGCTACCTTCGACCAGTAATCTCTGAACGGGTCTAGGCTGTCCTCAGATCTCATAATCTGTGAATCCTTGGGACCGAAAGGCGAGCCCACAAGCCGGGCACGTGGATAATTGAAATACCCGCGAGCGCCTGGCGACCACGGAGTGATCGCCATTCCACACAGCACATGGCTCGCCTTTGGAATACCCTCAAAGGTGTGTTTCTTAATCATTGGACTGGGTATTTAGCGTCTGAAACCCGGGTGGTTTCCACTTACTTTGCCGGTCTCCTCGGTGAGCTGATTGTCGCCCTGGGTGCAGATCTCCCGCACGGAGGCATCCACCACACAGAGTCCAATTACCGCCTTGAGGGTTTCTAAAATTAAACAGACAGACGGGGTCCAGAAATAGGCGGATTTATCAACGCGTGGCGTAAAAGGGAAAGCGGCATTTTTTATTGTGTAAGCGCCACGTAGCAGCGCCTCCTGGAATCAACGCTTTCCCCTCACGCACTTCGGGCAGCAATACTCACTGTTGACGATCTCGCCGGCCAACTTGTACTTGGTCACAACCAAATCCTCGGCGATGGTCTTCTCGGGCTCCTTTTCCACATCTGCCATTGTGCACACTCTCGAATTTTAAAATGGCGACTTTAATGAAAATGCGACTGACTGAAACACCACGAGGTAAAGCTAGTGTGGCCAGGTAATGCCCAGGAATCGATAGTATCGAAGGTTCCAGAAGCGTGGCCAGTGGGCCTGCCTCTTAACAATTTTAAGCCATGACAACCCTAATAGTAGAGCGCGAGATTAAAATTAAATTGGTAAAAACTAAAACCAAACTAAGCCCGTGGCTAGCAAAACGAAAAACTTCATACAAAAAATTACGAAACTAATTTCTTTGGAAATTACAAGTATAAAGCCATCGATCTTTTCATAGTTTTTCGCACATTCGACAACAAACAAAATAATTCGACAATTTGAATTCAAGATAGTTCAAATTCAATCCAAAAAATAATTTTAAGTTTTTCTCAGTTTTCAACGAAAATGTGGTTGAATATCTTAAAACTGGTTGTGTACAACAAATTTATATACACTCTTAGTTTAATTATTTAGTAAATTAAAGTCATAGATAATTTTATTTTAAGTTTATTATAATATTTGTAGCTGGTCACACTGAAATTAGATGCCAGTCATCTTTTTGTTGTCGCTTCGGAAATTCGCATTTAAAACCAATAATATTTTATAATTATCGCCATGTCCGTGCGCGTGATCAATGATGAGTCCCACTTCCAGGCGGAGCTGGCACAGGCGGGCGTTCGCCTAGTGGTAGTGGACTTCACGGCCACCTGGTGCGGTCCCTGCCAGCGGATTGCCCCCATTTTCGAAATGTTCCCGAACAAGTACCCGAAGGCGATCTTCCTGAAGGTGGACGTGGACAAGTGCCAGGATACGGCCGCCGGCCAGGGCGTTTCGGCCATGCCCACATTCATCTTCTACAGGAACAGGACCAAAATCGACCGCATCCAGGGAGCGGACGTCAACGGACTGGAGGCTAAGATCCAAGAGCACATCGGCACCAGTAGTGGTGAGGATGCCGGCGAGGACTACGGCCAGGGCTTGGTAGGGTTATCCTGATTTTCAGACCACCCAATACACTTAAAGCTTTGTTCGTTCACCAAATAGATGGAACTGAATACTTTCATCTCGAAGCAAGAATGCGAGTGTCTCAACGAAGCCGATGACCATAACTTAAAGCATGCCCTGGCCTCCGCCGGCGGCTACCTGCAGTCCGACTGCGATGAGCAGCTCATCCTCTCCATCACCTTCAATCAGGCCGTCAAGATCCACTCGTTGAAGTTCAAGGCGCCTTCGCAACTGGGTCCCAAGGATGTCAAGCTGTTCATCAACCAGCCGCGCACCATTGACTTTGACATGGCCGAGTCCATGACCAGCGTGCAGGATTTGAGGTGGGCTTTACCTTAACCACTTTCCATTTCCTCGGCTTATTGTTTGAACCACTTTGCAGCCTGGCTGAAAAGGAGCTGGAGAACGGCGTTCCTGTCAATCTGCGCTACGTCAAGTTTCAGAACGTGCAGAACATCCAGATTTTCGTGAAGAACAACCAGTCGGGTGGCGATGTAACGCAGATCGACTACATCGGCTTCATTGGCTCTCCCATCATGACCACCAAGATGAACGACTTCAAGCGGGTAGCCGGCAAGAAGGGCGAGAGCCACTAGACTACCCACTAGGATTCCAATGAAAATTTCAGCGATTTCCCAATGACGTCCCGGAGCTTCTCTTTAACTTTCGACTTACAAATAAGCAATGTACAACAAATGCATAAAAAACCATACAAAAAAATAAGGTTCAACAATGGTTATCTCAGGTAACTTGAATATCAATTAGTGTTAGAGACTGCTCTGTTGCGAGTCCAGTTCCTTGGTGAGCATTCGCCAGGCCCGCTCCGCCTGTTTCTGGGTGAAGTCGTGATCCCATTGTGAGCTGAAGATAACGTGAGACTTGGCCACTATCTCCGTGTTGGGCACCTGACTGGACAGTCGCTTCCTAGCCTCCTCCTCACTGAGGTTGTTGCGATTGATAATTCTACGAACAGCCTCTTCGGGCGGCACAATCATGGACCAAATCTCATGGCAATTGGACTCCCAGCCCGCACGCAACAGTATCGCAGCCTCCAGGATCACCACACGGGGCACTTCGGCCTGGGAACGAAGTGCATCTAGTCTTCTATTGATCTCAGCGATAAGTTCCGGCCAGACGATCCCATTGAGGGTCTGCAGCTGCTTGGGATCGGCAAATACCAAAGGCCCTAGTTTCGAACGATCTATCCGGCCGTCTGCGGCTACAATGCCCTGTCCAAAATGCTGCACAATCCGTTCGTAGCACACCTGACCCGGTTCATATACATCGTGCGCCACCTTGTCGCAGTCGATGACATGGGCGCCCATTCCGCCCAATCGCTCGGCCATCTTACTCTTGCCGGAGGCGATGCCACCTGTTAATCCAATGATATGGGGGCGCGACGGAAGCTGTGGTCGCTGATCCGGTCTTCGCCAGCGAGTGCCCAGCAAATCAATCCGAGTGTTACTCGAGCTGACCTTCGTCTCGTGGATGCCGTCATGCACGTTGCTCTCCACAATATCGATTACGAAGATTTCCAGCTCCCTTAGCTGCTTGGCGGAGCGTATCTCATTGACCTTTTGACCACCCCTCAGGGTTTCCGCACTGACCACAATCATGTCCAGATCGGGATCCACTTGCGTGGGTCCGAAGGGATCGTCGATCGGCACTATCTCGTACTGGAGAGTGCTGTCTATGTCCATAAGGAAATTTCTTAGCCGGGCAATACGCTCCTCCACGGGCAGTATCAAATCCGGCAAAGTCTTGCCTGCAGATAGCAAAGGCCATTTAGATAAGAATCTTTTTGCCGAATCATCCGTTTCTTACCCTTCGTCATGGCTGAGGTCGTCACGCCCACAACCAGACGTTTGCAGGTGCGCAGTACCGCCTGGGTGAGGAATATCTTGTGGCCCAGGTGGATGCGATCGAAGGTTCCGCCAAGGACAACCGAGGGATACATCTTCGGAGCCTGCAAGGCGTCCTGTTGGTCTCTTAAATCGGAGATAGGTGAGTCTTCCAGGAAGATAGTGGGCTTGCTGATGTTGAGATCCGCCCGCAACTTGTCGCACAGTTCCGGATGATGTGCATCCGAAAATATCAAGTCCACTGGCTGGCGCAACTTCAAGGATCCACTGCTTCCTGGCCGGAGTGGCGAGACAAGTACCCGTAGGTCCAGTTGGTTGCCCACATAACTGCTGCTGTTCGCATAGAGCTGGGAAATCAGACGACCCCAAACCGGAGGATCCGGTAGATTTGGTGACGTTGTGGACGTTGACCCCGCCACATTCAAGTGGATGTACAGGGAATTCACGTACTTCTCGATGGCGTGCAGGGATTTTCCAAGGTGCTTGATGTTAGACACCACCAGTAATCCTGTTGAGGCCATGGTGTCTATTGATCGGGAATAATTCAATTCCAGCTCAGTTCAACAGTTGCATCAACATTATAACGCAGGGTTGTCGGATGCATTTAAAATTATCGATATCTACTGATAAGGCTTTAAGATACCGATAACATTAAAGATTTAAATTACTAATTTTGTTTATGAATTTTGTTAACTATGCTTACTAAAAATGTCCAACGTTTTTGTATTAAAATATTTTTATTAAATATATTTACATATATGTATTTTATATAAAACGCACTAGGACATTTCTCTACCCCGCATTACCTAGCGCGTCAATTGACCATTCGCCCCGAGTTGGCATCCCCAATCACGAATATGGTGCGAAAAGAGAATCCGCAGTCGGAAGAAACACGAGGGAAGGAATCGTCATTATTTTCGAAAGCAGACTTTGCGTCTTAAAATGTGCCGCGTTCAATACTGAACCAAATCGATTAGCAAATGCCTGGGCTCCAAACGTAATGTTCAGTTTGCCAACTAAACAAAACGCAGCGCGGACTTAACGGAGCCTGAAAAAGATTGTGTCCGAGTGCGTTAGTGTGCGTGTGTCGGTGTCGCAGTCGGTGTGGGAATAAGAAGCAAAGTGAGAAAGAGAGGAGTGAGAAAGGGGAGAGAAGTGGGCAGAGGAGGATCTTCTGCAGGATCTTCGATGCACATTAGCTAACTGGGCGAATGTCGTAGTGGTCCACCTGGTCCACCCCACCTACACAAAATTCCACCACAAATTCCCAGCAGGATGCCCATTTCGATGGCCGTGTGTGAAACGGCGAATGTCGTCAACGCAGCTCTGCGAGAGTCCCTTGGCGCGTCGTCCTCTTCGACCGACCAGGCCAAAACCGGCGAGGATTCCGCCGGCAACCTACAAAACCACATCGTGGCCAATGCCAAGCGCATCCTAATGGCCAAAATTGAATACGAGGAGGTGCCCAATTTCCACGAATCGGTGCTGGAGAACCTCAAGTCCAAATACATTGTCATCAAGCCTGGAAACCCAGGCGCCATCAATGGTTTTGGTGGTAAAAACAACACAGGCAAAGTTGTGGGCGCAAATGGACATGGTGAGTAAAGCTAAAAAAAAAAAAATCAAAAGTTGCCTGCAAAAGTGGCTTTTCTTCGTCTCCGCCTTCGTCTGTGTTTCTTCTTTGTGTGGCAATTTGCGCAATCTTCCATGTGCTATACATATCTATGTATGTATGTATATATATATGTGTATATATATATAGATATATCCTCCCGTTTGTTTTTGCCAAGTCTTTTGGGGAATATCCGTCCACAAATCACGTGTGTTGTTTTTCCGCTAACGTTTTATTTTTTGTGCTCTGCCTGCATCTGCCGGCAGTGCAGTCGGCGTTGGCAGAGCAGCATACCTGTACTTTTTAGGCGCTGTGTGCATGTGTGCGTGATGGCGTACGTGTAAACAGAATGCAAAGGAATACGCGGAAAAAGCAAAACAAGTACAACGTTGCAAAGAGTAAGCTGGAAAGGCAACAACACAACTCCCAGTTTCTGATTCACAGAAGTTGTGGCGGAAAAAAACGTGCTGCCTTTTCAGCGGCAAATAATAAAAGAAGGCAAAAGCACGAGGGCTCCACTTGATAGTTCCGTCTCTTTTCTCCGCACACATGGCCAGCGCCAGCGGTACTTTTATTGGCTTTGTTTTTTTATATGCGGTAAATGCGTCGCAATCTGCTTGGGTGTGATAAAAAAACGAGCGCAAACAAAAGCGATTGCAGGCGTGATTCACACGGAACAGGAAGTGGACACAAAGCCAAGAAGAACAAACTCTTACAAGATGATTTTTTTTGGCCTGGTCAATGCCTTGAACACAGTTACAAAGGCAACAAATAAAGGGGAGCAGAGAGTCTACAACAACCACTGTTAGGTCGCGCCAAAAATTCAGTTGGCAACACTGTGCTATCTCAACCCCCGCAAGTCAAAGCAGGACAACTATATATTCGGAGCAGACGCACTGTCTGGTCTGGTAATCGCCATCCCTTTCACACGCTTGCTGTTATCAGCATAAATGCTCTTCTTCTGCCAGTCGTTATCTCGCTCACACGCTCGCTGTTATCAAAGATATGAGTAGTGTTGGGTAACAACTAGGTTTTACTACCTAGGTACGTACCTAAAAACTCATTTTAAGTACTTTTTGATTAGTCTAAACCTGAAAAATCTGGACTAGTTTTTAAAGTAACATGGTATTTGAAATTTGTTGAACAACAGAACAAGACTAGCCGTCAGAAACATTGTTAAAATACTTGACATTCCAACCAATTTTATATCAAATGTTTCTTTACATAACAAAAAAAAGACTAACAAAATTCTAGAATAATTCTAACATAATAAATGTATAGCTTTATTATCCATTTTGTTTCTTCGTGGAATTTTTTTTGCTAAAAATCTGTTTATTTTTATTTTCAATTAAAATAAATCTATTTGGGTTTGTGAATCTTAAATCGTTACTTCGGTATTATGTTAAATGTAGAAAACATTATCTAGGTACATTACACTTGCACCTTATCCAACACTGCGCATAGGTGATGGTGAGAGTGTGTGCGAGTGTGTGTCAGCAGTTTCCACAGCGAGAACAGCTCGTGTTATTTTTATTTTAGTAGCACGGCACACAGGCAGGGAGCGAGTGAATATTTATTAAGATCTCTCTGGACGCTCGATGCATTATGACTGTGATAACGGTGGACGGGTTTGCCTTGTGGCTGCTCTACAAACTGCTCGTGTTGCCTTGCTTCTTCGTCCTATGGCACGTGCTTAAACTGGCTACCAACCTCTTTCCCCTTACAGACAATAACGGCGGCGGTCGCAAACAGCCGGAGCACCCCAACAATCAGTCACACCACAACAACCACAATCATGCAAATCCTACAAACAATCCCAATGAGCTGCCCAAACCGAAAAGGGTCCTGTATCCCCGGGAGAATATCCGCATTGGCTGGAAGCAGTCAGAGCGCAAATGGCAGGTGGGAACGGGCATGATCAACGTGGGCAACACTTGCTACCTCAACTCCACGCTCCAAGCGCTCTTACACATCCCCGCTCTAGCCAATTGGCTCGTTTCCGAGCAGGCTCACCTGGACAACTGCAATGTGGCCGAGTCCGGTGGCTGTTGCATCGTTTGCGCTATGGCCAAAACCCTGCTGGCCACCCAGAGCAATCAATCGGCCGTCAGGCCTTTCCTCGTCTACTCGAAACTGAAGCAGATCTGCAAGCACATGGTCGTCGGTCGGCAGGAGGATGCGCACGAGTTCCTCCGCTTCCTGGTCGAGGCCATGGAACGAGCCTATCTGATGCGTTTCCGCAACTACAAAGAGCTGGACCAACTGGTGAAAGAGACGACGCCGCTGGGACAGATATTCGGGGGCTACTTGCGCAGTGAGGTGCGCTGTCTGAGCTGCAGCCACGTGTCCATCACGTTCCAGCACTTCCAAGATCTGTTGCTCGACATACGTAAGGCGGACTCGTTGGAGGACGCCTTCGATGGACACTTCTCGCGGGAGCGGCTGGAGGATATGGGCTACAAGTGCGAGGGCTGCAAGAAGAAGGTGCGTTTGTTTGTTCTTTATTTTCTAGATCGTGTTTCTAAATGTATTACTTCCAGGTTTCTGCCACAAAGCAGTTTTCCTTGGAGCGAGCTCCCATTACGCTTTGCATCCAGCTAAAGCGCTTTTCTATGATCGGCAACAAGCTGACCAAGCAGATCTCCTTTAAGCCACGCATAGATCTGAGCAAATATGCTGCCCGTTCGCCTGCGGCTCAAGCGCAGCCGCTTACCTACCGTCTGGTCTCGATGGTCACCCACTTGGGAGTGTCTCAGCACTGTGGTCATTACACTGCCATCGGATCCACAGAGTCGGGCAGCTACTACAACTTCGATGACAGCTATGTCCGGCCCATCGCCATGCAGAGTGTCTGCAACACAAATGCCTACATCATGTTTTACGAATTGGACCTCTCACAGGCTGCCAGTCCTGCGGCCGTCAGGCCTAATGGAGTGCGTCACACCAACGGTCACAGTACGCCAGTGCCGGCGACGACTGTGTCTTCGCCCTCGCCAACTCGTTTCATTGGTCCCCAGTTGCCGCCCGGCGGGATCAATGGCTATAGCAATGGCAGTGCCCAAAAGACCGCCATCCAGTTCAAGCAGCACCACCAGCAACATCAGCAGAACGGTCTCCAACTGGGGACCGGAAACTTTCAGGACTCTGCGAAGGCTTTACTGGTTGGCGCACACGCTAAAGGCGAAGCTACTCCAGGTCCCACTGCAAATGGTAACAAAAGTTCCTCTACCAGCAGCAACAACCACAAATCAATAAACCAGCAACAATATCTGCCAATCTCCTCGGAGGATGAGGACAGCGACGATGAAATGAAGTCCAGGCCAACGACAGCCCAGCTGCCGAGCATGCCCAGGATGACGGAGGACCACACGGAGAAGCCAAAATCGCCGGTAAAGGTCCAAGTTAAGACCCCCGTAAAAACCCCGCTGAAGAGCTTAGTGCCCTACGAATCCGCTTCCGAGGAGGAAGAGGCACCACTGCCCAATCCCCGCAAACGTTCAAGTGGGGAAAACTCAAGCGAGTCGGACCAGGAGTCTGTACCGGTTAATGGTCACAGCAAGACCAATGGCTCTCTAGCGAACGGGTCTGTCTCGTCATCGGTTCACGTTAACAACAGCAAACAAAAGACTGATGCCATAGATGAGATCTTTAAGAGCCTGAAAAAGTCAGCGGATAGTGAGGATGACGACGATGAGGAGGAGCCGAGCATCCAGCTGACCAATGGCTGGCACCCACAGAAGCAATCGCAGTCGCTAAGCAGAGCACCACCCTCGCCCAAGACGCCACCCTCGCCTGCAGTCATCAAATCGAAGACGGGTATCTGGAAAGTTACGCGAAACGATGAAGCTGATGCAGAAGACGATGACGATGATGAGATCGAGGAGGCGCCGGCAACCAAAGTCCAGTCGCCGACCAAGACCCATCGTAACCCCTTCGCCAGTAGCAAACCCTCCACGGACTCACCCACAACGCCTGGCGCCAAGCGCCAAAAGTTGCTCAACGGCAGCGCGGTCAAGTCGCACCAGCAGCCAAGGGTGGGCAATGGTTACCAGAGCGAGGCCACCTCAAATGGAAGTACCATTAACGAGCTTCTGAAGCAATCGCATCGTGGATACGGCTCCTCGGTGCTCAGTTGGAACGGCAAGCCAGCGGAGCTTGAAAAGGAGGTGAGTTCGGGGAGCAGTCTTTAAAGTAGCGCATAGTGAAATCTTTCTTAAGGGGTTTTTTCAAATGCAAAGTTGCGGTTTAAATAAGATTGAATTCCCGTTACATTTTCAATTGTTAAATGTTAATTTAAAGTTGCATTCTTATTCCGATCGCAACTGCTTGCATCTTAATTTTAAATTTCATTCTTTGACTGGTTTTTTGGCCTAACTTCTTTATTTTCCTTTCGATGTATGTCGTTCGCTTAGTTGTTGCATGAAATGCGATTGGATTGCGTTGATTTACTAAACGAACTTGTTTGTAATTTGCATTTGTTTCCACATTATCCCCCATTCATTTAGCCTTTTGAGTTGGTTTGTGCGAAACGGATAGCTGGTCACGGCAGTGTGGATGGCAGCGATATCGTCGAGAACTCGGCAGAAGTCGACATCGCCAGTGGGAGTGACAGTAACGTGATCGTTTTTACAGTAGCAGTATCAGACGCTGGCGCTGACGCACCCGATCCGGATCGTCTCGAGGACGGCCGGTAGGAGGCAGAAGCGGAGGCAAAGGCGAGAGACCCTTTCTGTTTCCCCACAAAGCACACACAATATACAAACAATACGATTACCCCGAATAGTCTGTGATTGCGTTGACGGTATCCGTTCGTTCCCAACCGGACGGATTCCGCAATGCGGCCCCTCCCGTTCGCCAAGCGTTAAGAGTGTATAGAGAGTTGCAAGAGTCTGTGCGTGAGGGAGTGACAATGACTGCACCAGAGCCTAGGTAATTCACCGGATGTCTCCGCACCCGTGCAATGAAGCTTATGATTTGACTGCTGGCCGCGGCACGTTCTTTCTTTCTTTCCCCGCCTGAAACGCCATAAATTCAACCGTGCCGTTACCGTTTTGCCTGATAACCTGTCACCGTGAACAGTAAACCGTAAGCCACTCACCCATTTCGAATACAATATGCATCCCAGTGTTTTTTTCGTGAGCGTTCCAAACCTCATCTGCATAAGCTTCATTACCAAGCGCATGCCAGCCTTTCCATTCACAAGGTTCGAACTCCACCTTAATTGTTGAATATTCTGTTTTCTGCAGCTACTGGTGGACGCGCGTGAGCAGCGGCAGCGGGACCTGGATGACGATGAGGAGAACGAGATGGATCGTGGGAGGCAGCGCAAGGTGAAGTCTGGCGCGACCAAAGGCAACAACAGCAGCAATGCCAGCAACAGTACGCCCGGCTACAATCCATTTCAGGAGTACGAGGGCCAAAAGCGCTGGAACAAGAACGGCGGCGGAGGTGGCTTTCCGCGTTTCTACAACCAGAACTTTCGCCAAAACTTCCAGCAGCGCAACAAGTTCAAGTTTAACCGCTTTGGCGGACCGGGCAGCGCCAAGTTCCAGCAGCAGCGAGCCCTGCAGCGTCACCTGGCCGCCGGCGGTGGCTTCAGCCGGCGACAGCCAACGGCACAGCAGCAGCAGCAGCAGCAATCCTAACTGGATGCGGACAGACGAGGATCGAGAGGAGACGGAGACGTCGATGAGACTGCGGCGTGTGCATTTGTTATTGGATTTCGATTTCGCATGAGTTTTGTAAACGTTTTTTAACTGCTGATGAACATATTAGAAGTAGGAGTAGGCGTAGGACTGTAAGCTATAAGCTAGAGCGTAACTGTTGCCCCCAGATCATCCAGAACCTTCATCCGCGCCCCAGCACGGCCCCATTAACCTAAGCCTATGATTAAGTAAGAAAAAAAAGGAATGCGAAAACCTGTTTGGCATTTTTTATTTATTGTGTTTGGCAGCATTACGTTTGGATACATTGGAGCGGTAACCCTGCATCCGCTAGGAAGTAAGGTTACCGCTCTAATGGGTCACTCACAAGGTTACCGCTCTAATGTATCATTTTGAAAAAATGTTACTCCCCGTAAAAGCAAATTTTCTTAAACTAAACAGCTGCGCATTATGGAAATAAAGAAACCCAATATTTTAATAAGAGCCTAAACTAAAAAGCAAACAAGCTAAATTTGTACATAGAATGCAAGAATAGACCTAGACCCATGAAAATCGAGTGTAATTTTAACGGCGCCCCCCTTTTATTTATAGAGCATAACAGAACAGCGGCAAGTAGCGATATTGCCAATGTTAATAACCCCCAAAAAAAAAAATAAATAAATAAAGCATGTTGGATGGATGTATATGTACTATGAATATGAACGAAAATTATATGCGCAAGCGAGAGAAACTCGACCGGCGTATTAGAAAAATTATTGTACAAGCCAGGAATTTAACAGTTTATTTGATCAACTAGAGTAATAGTAAATAAACCGTAAAACAAACTATGCTAAAAGAAAAATTTAGTCTGCGTTGCGCTTGCGCCTCAGCTCCTTCTTGTTGACCATGCGGCCCTTTCGGTACTTCGACTGTTGGCCCTTTCCAAACTTGAGCTGCTTGCGCTGGTGCTTGGGAACGCTCTTGATGGTGTTGTTCCGATCCCGCTTGGCCTTCTTCATATTGTTCTTCTTGTCCATGCGCTCCTTCTGCTTGAACAGCTTGCTCTGGTGCATCTTCTTCAGGGTTTTGGTTTTCATCAGGCGGTCGAGGTCCTTTTTGCTCTTGATGTCTGGCTGGGATGTGGTGTTGGCTTTTTTAGACTTTGGCTGCTCCTCCTCCTCTTCATCTGGCTTGGATTTGCGCTTGCGGGCATTGGGATCATAGTCCATGCCTGGTATTCTGTTGGGCTCGTCGGCCTCGTCCTCTTCGCTTTGGACCTCCCGCTCCTCCGGCTCGCTTTCTTCTGCCGTATTGGCTCCCAACATATTACGCTTGGCAGCCAGATCATTGGTGGTCAACTCAACGATCTTCACCTGCACCTCGTCGTCTTCGTAAGTCTCCTCCTGCTGCTGCTCCTCCTCCGCCTTGTCTTCCTCGGTGAGCTCCCGCAGTGGCTCAAAGGTCTTCTTCAGGTGGTTGAACCCATCTTTAACCTCCTGCCGGATGCGTTTTCGCTCATTTTTGAGGTTCCTTTCCAGTTCGGCCTTAGCCCGCGATCGTCGTTCGTTTTTTCGCTTTCGAAAGCCGCTGAGGAACTCTCTACGGGATTTGGTTTGAAAATTAGCAGCACATTGGGATTATATATTTTATATCTTTGCTTACATGCGTTTTTTGTTGTCGAAAACAACCTCTGTTTTCTTTTTGGGGGCCCTTTTCCGGGTCATTTTGTAAAGTTTTGGGTTTTTATTTACGTTTTCAACATGTGCGAGTGGCGGCAGTGTTGTAAAACGTTCGACAAAGAGATGCTTAGTGTTCTAGCCTTTTTAATTTCTAGCCATGTTTTTCAAGCCAAAATTTGTATGAATTTTTATTCACTGTACCATTTTTTGTTAGTAAAAAAATTCTTTGTTAGCGTTTTAACATTTGGGAAAAATTTACTTAGATTTTGATAATTCAAAGATTTAAATTAAAAAGTTAATAATTTTTCAATCCAAAAATGTCCATGCCCCAAAAACACACCACTTCATAGCGTAATTTCAATTACTAGTTTTTATTTTTTCAAACTTTTCAAATCGCTTTTCGTATATATATCACATGATTATATGTTCAAGTTCAACAAGTTCTTCTAAAGAAGCATTAACATTACACAATTGTAAGACTACATCTAGGGAACTTCGTACAACTCTACTGTCTAGAACTAAGCTAAATATATTTAACGATATATTCGGTTGCCATATGTATCTGGTATTTGTTCCGTAACTGATATATGTAGATTATTTGTATGATAAATTCATTGAGTTTCCATTTATCGGTGCCCTCCTTACTCACTCGTCGTCAAATTCCACGTCGAACAGTTTTTTGCGTCGGAACGAGGAAGGGTCGAGGACCTTGGGGGAAGACAGGGCGGAGCAGGGACTTTCGAAATCATGAACCTTAACAAACCTGCTCAATGAGTCCACACTGAAAGAATATTGGTTATAAGCTCACCAAAGGTGAAGAGAACAAAGGTACTCACTTCTTTCCCAACAAGTCCATGCGGGATTTTCCTTGATTGGTGTTTAGTGGCGTGGAATTCATTACGATGGGGGTACCATGATTGGACAGCTCCAGTGGATCCTCGCCGACAAGAAAATCTGAGGCGTAACAATCGCGATTGGCAATGGGCGTGGATCCTACCAGCTGGAATTCCACCCGTGGCACTAGAGGCACGCCTTTGGACGAGGGCGAGGAGGGAACAGGATTCATGCTGGGCTGCGAGGGGCCGATGGGCTTACACAGATGCAGGGCCTCAAGGAAATAGAGAAAATAACGGAAGGCTGCCGTTTTCCAATTGCACATTTTTCCCCAGACGGCTCGACGAGATCGCCGAATGCTCCGCGACTGTTTATTGATCAAAGAATTAAAAAGAGTCAAAGGACAGACTAGCGGGCTCTTACCAGCATACTAAGGCTCATTAGCGACTTGCGCTTCTGTTGCAGGCGCTGCAGCTTGGGATGTGAGAGTAGTTGATCTGCTGTTGGTCTCCGAGTGGGATCGGGCATCATCATGGACTTGATCACCGACTGCAGCTCCAGGGATATTTCTGTGATGACAAAAGACATTATTAACTGTTTGCGATCGGGGAAACTCCTTTGCAACTCACTGTTTATGAACTCCTCGGGCAGGATGCCGTTTCTAAGTTGGTGCCACAGTGGCCCATTCGAGGGCAGTTCCATGTAGCATGCCAGCTCCAGCATGGCGATGCCCAGGCTAAAGATATCCGCCGCCTTGGAGAAGTGACCCTGCAGGATCTCCGGAGCCATGTACCTGGAATCGCCCTCGGTGGCATGATGGCTATTGGCCTTGTCCACATCGATGACCAAGCCAAAGTCGGCCAGCTTGCACGTTTCGTCATCCTCGCCGATCAACACATTGTCCAGCTTGATGTCCAGATGGATGAGATTTCGGTCGTGCAGCGATTTCAGGCCCCTCAGCAGATCAAGCAGTATGTGCCAGATGCGCTCCTCGGGTATCCTTTGGCAGCGCAGCAAGTACTGCTCCAGGCTCTCACGGCACAGCTCCATTTGCATGTACAGCCGGTCGTATTGCTCCCATGCGCGTATGAAGCGGATGCAGTTCTCGTGACCGGAGAACTCCTCGTACCGCCGGACCTCCTCCAGTCGCTCTGCGCGGTACTGTTCGCCACGGAACAGCTGCTTGGAGATCTTCACGGCGTAGAGCCGACCGTCAGAACGATCTCGCACCTGAAACACCTCGCCAAAGGATCCCTCGCCCAGTTTGGCCACCCGCTCAAAGCACTGCTCAAAGTGGCTGTTCCCATCGCTCAGTTCTGATGGCACTGGTGAAAGTGGCAGAGTACTCGCGTCCGCACATTCCGATCCCCGGAAGGAGATGGCGTGGGCGACCTGGGAACTGTTGGCGCTGCAGGAGCCCAGCGACTGGCTACGGTTCAGATTGTTGTTGTCCACCGCAATATAGCCGCGCGTCTTGTACTTCGGTGGACGGAAGCGGTTGCTGTTATCGCCATTGCATTGCTTGTGTCTGTGCTTATCGTCGTGCAATTCCGGGAGCGGCAAGCGATGGTTTTCCATTTTTTTATTTTCAATTTGGGTGTCTTTTAATGAGTGTGGCGCAGTGTGACCATATCGCACAATGGGGGAAATCTTGACTCGCGTTGTACAATAAGACGCCGGCTGGCGACCAAAAAACTGCAATTTTCTATCTTTTGATCTTATTAATTATTTAAAAACAATCTTTCAGCTTTAAATACATTAAACTGATTGATCTAAAATACAATATCCGTAATCTAACAAAATACTAAATGAGTGAAAACTAGTGATGCTGAAAGGTTATTTTAAAATAAGGCGCTCAGGTTGCATGCGTTCATATGCGAATGGTAAAAAATAAAGAAGAAAATCGCATGCAGATGAAAGCTTTTTCGTCCAACTTAAAAAAAAGTAAAAAACTAGAAGTTTGCGCATGCTTTTGGAGTAAAAAAGTGCAAGTGCCTTGAAATTAATATCAACGGATAATTTAACATCAAAATACAGTTGTTTTGTTGCAGTTTTCCAAGCTGCTACAAATAAAGACGGAGAGCAGGTATTTATTGTTTTGTGCTTTAATTATTTGTTTGTTTATCTGAGTTTTTAAATTTCGAATGTTTACTCTTCGGGTAGAGTACTGTATTTTGTCTTCTTGTTTACGTTTTTGCACTGCAGCTGCACTGTGGCTCAAAACTCTGAAAATAAACCTTTTCCCAGATAATGTATGTACATATGTACATAATTTTCTAAAAAAAACTTCGGCGAAACGAAAAGACTCTGAATTTTGTGCACAAATTTCGTTCACTGTAAGCAAACGACTCTTAAAACTCTGAATTGGAAACAGTTATAAAGATTTCATATTTAAATCAATTTTTGGGCTTGCGTTCAAAAAATGTTGACTCATGTGCCCCTACATAAAAGCTTAAAACTTAAATCGTCGTTTTTTTTATACGCATTTATGTATATATATGAACCTACATATATTATTCATCTATATATACTGAAGAAGTGGTGTTATTCAAAGTCTTAACCAAAAATGACCAATAGTAATAAATAATGGGGTTTGTGTGTATTTAAACGTTATAATTAAGCTTCGCTTATTGTCAAGAATTAAAATTTAAGTCTGAACTCAATACAGTCGAAAAATGTCTTAAAGATTTTATTTGAACATTGCTTTCTTATTTTGAAAATGTAGGGTTCAATTGACGACTAATTTGTTCATTCATTTTTATTTTAGAAACTCTTTCGAAAAACTTATTAAAGCTATCAATCAGCCTAAGAAATGGACGAAGATGGGAAATTTATTTTGAACCCCGACTGCCTCTTGGAGATAATGAATTACGTGATTACTGATTGCAAGTTGAAAGGCCAAAATGTCGTGCAGTGTTCTTCAAATTATGATGATTTAATCCACTTTGTATTGGCCGATGAAGTCTTTTGGGAGTTGCTCGTAGTTCATCACAAACGACTATACGAAGATCTTGAGATGGCTATTTCCGCCAAAATCATAAAGCTTCTGATAGATATGCGAGTCAACAAGATACCAAGCGAAAATGAACATTGCTGGGGATCCTACCTACGATCTATTAGAGAAAAAAGTCCTTACAATGTGGAATTATCTTTTGAGGATGATAAAGAAAAAAGGGACCATACTTACGTAAACATTAGTATAAAAGGTAAGTCTTGATATAAATTTGGAATATGAATAAATCTATTCTATATCTATCTATATCATATTAACTAACTGCTTTATTTCTGTGATAACTTTAATGGTTAACCTCTTCAGATTTGCTTTTATCAATTAATTTTAAACTCATTTTTTTCGAGGAAACTCAACGCACCTTACAAACACCGAGAAGTTAAAGTTAATAAATGGTAACATTACTACACAAGAGTTAACTTACATCTGCATCTTGAACCAAACCAATTTAAAATTGTTGACCTTTGAAGGCAGTAAAATCCATGGAAGCTTTTCCGATATAGTACCCTTTTGCGAAAATCTTGAGGAGCTGAGAATAAGTTTGATACCAGGAGACGGTGCTGCCCAATATGGATCGCTTGCTAAGTTACCCAACTTAAAAACGTTTGTTCTTTCTGGAATCCAAGAGAGCGGCTCACAATTGCTATTCTTCAATGATTTAAGAAAATGGAGCAGACCTAAAAGTCTTCAACCCTTGACCTTGACCATCGAAGATTGTCTTAGTGATAAACGTCAGCCTATTGCTTTTGCAACATGGGACTCGTTGAGATATATGCACATACATAACTATGAAGTTAATAGTTGGCAGATAACAAAACTAAATGTTTTAGTTAAATTTGAGTACGATCTTTGTGAGCTATCGGAAGACAGTAGTTCAATAGAGGAATCTCTTGCCACAATAACTTTGGGAAAATATGTAAAAGTTAAATTTAGCAGATGTAAGGAAGAACTTGAGGTTAAAATACATCGAGAGTCGGACATCAGCCAAATGGGTTCCTTATCCAAGCTGCCCAATCTAAAACGCTTGGTCATACATCATAAGTGTAACTACTTAGATTATCCTGATACACTTGCAACATTTTTACAGGCAATGGGACCATCTGATTTAAAATTTTGCAAGATAAACTATTCAACAATAGATGAACTAGAGTGCAAGGAACTTTCGAAAATGAAATCAATTCGATATCTAGGCTGTCATCCCTACGATTGGAATTCAACCAAGTTTATAAGTCAATTATCTAACCTACAACACCTACAAATAAATGTCCGCCGCGAAGCGCTTAATGACAATAATTCAGAGCTGGTTCTCAACTTGCTTAATGCATGTCAGGTGCAAGCCTCTATAATGACCGAAGTGTTTCGTGTTACCTTAAAAAGGAATGAAAACAAAATGGAGATACATATATTTTGGAATAGCTTTAGGGCCGATATTCTGGCACCCCTTGCCCAACTTACGGGCGTTAACACCCTCCAGATCTCAGGGTGTCCAAATACTGGATCACTAAACCCATTCTTCCAAGCATTCGCCACCAGTAATTTAAATACAATCGAAGAAATAGATCTCAGCCAAATGGAAAAAATAAGTTTTGACGATATTTCTAAGGTTGCAGGAATTAAAACTTTAACGAAACTTACTTGTTGTCTCTCAGATACTACTGGAATTGAAAAATTGGCAAGCTTGAATAAACTCGAAGATATAGACATTTTCGGAAATGGAAACCTGGCCGCATTATTCATAAAACTGGCTGAGAAGGATTCAATTCAACGTATTCGATATTCCGAAGGACTTGATCCCGAAGAGGTCATAAGAGTTTCCCGAATAAGGTCACTGAAAAAACTAGATTGCTTTTTTACTGACGTGGAAGATGTGCCATCGTTGTCCGACTTAGCTAACTCAAGTATTGAAGAATTGATTGTTAAAGTATCAAAGCCAACCTGTTCCCTGCTGAAATTATTTGAAGCGTTTTCTTCGTGTCGTTCATCTAGGCTGCAGCACCTGGAAGTTACGAACAAAACTCTTGACATCACTGAAATGACAGAAATTTCAAAAATAAAAGGCCTAAAAACATTACGCACAGGATTCTTATGCTTGAAAAGTGCGGCAATTTTAGATCGTTTAGTCAATCTGGAGAATTTAGTTATAAAAAATAATGTTTTGGCACTTAAATCACTACCTATGTTACAGAAATTGCATTTATGTTACCAGATTGGCTTCAGCGAATGTAACAATTTAGTTGAGCTTGAAAAACTGGAATCCTTAAAATGCTCGTTAGCCAAAGAATCGGGTATTGAAGTTTTGGCCAATATAAACAATTTAAAGGAACTATTCATATTAAAAACAAAGGATTCGCTTACTAAACTTTATCGAGCGTTTGCTCTTAGAAGTCAGTCAACGCTAAGAGAACTGCATACACAAATAAGTAGTTCCGATGAGATCCGCGAAATATCGCAAATTAAATCGTTAATAACGCTTAATATTGGCTACAATAGTACATGTGATAACTTATCAGACCTTGGGCAACTTAGCGAACTTAAATCGTTGCATATAGTTAGCTCTGAAAATTCCAGTATAGATACCGATAGCATATTGCTGATTATTAAATTTTGTAAAAATCTCGATTGCGTCACTTTGGAATTTAAAAGAGGACAAAAAGTGGCTGTGAACTTTGTGAGCAAAGTGAACAGCATTTTAAAATCTATAAGGAACATTGGACTTCAGAAACCTTTACAGCTTACTCTAGTTGAATCAACAGTTTTCCCAAAATTCCATGTAAGTTACAATAATAACAATAACAACCTTTCAGACATTAAGATTTTACATTTTGCAGGTTGATGATATCGATGAATCATACTTAAACGTTGTCTATTCCTACAAAACACATGACCCAAATTTAATTGTAGATTTTATGTCGGATGGTGAAGAATCTGACGACTCTGAAACCTATGATATTGACTGGTATTAGATTGTTTAATAAAAAATTTACAATATTATCAAATATTTTGTTTAATAAATAAAGTTAATGTTGTTCGTTCAAACTTCTAAATTTTTTGCTTTTTTTTATCTGAAAAAAAATACATAAAATCCATACCTAAAAGAAATAGTTGAATAGCGAAAATAGTTTTTGAGGTTACTGTTATAATTTAACCAATTTAACAATGACGTTTGTCATTCCTTGAATTTTGAATATCGTAACCGTTAAGGGAATACCCTATTAATTTTTTAGTATATGCCGCCTTGCAAACGTTTTGAATTCGGTATATTGCAAGCGTTGAATGGTATCTTTTGGTATTATTTTTACCGAACTTTGGTATATTTTAACGGTCCAGCTGCGGCCGCACTGAGTTTATTAACAAAATAAAAAACAACAAATTTATTAGCAAAATGGTTAGCAGAAATATAGAAAGGTAAATATTGGTCCGAGAATCGCTAACGCAGGATTACGCAACTAGTCCTATCTGTGGGTGCAGCCGTATCCCAGATTGTGGAGTGCACACCTGTTTTGGTTATGCAATTTACCAGGCGGCTTCGGCTTCTACATTATCTCCGCCGGACAATGGTTTCCCGCGGAGGCTTAATCTTGACCTTAACCTTGAAAGTCCAGATCCAGATAGCCTTGATTAATGGCTTCCATTCACATATTTCTCCTCCTCTTGTGCAGCACGAGTAAAGTGCCCACTTTCCATGTCATCCGCGAGGTTTACGACAGTTCCAATGCCCATGAAAGATTCGAGGCGGAACTGGACAAGGCGCTGGAGGCCAAGGTGGACTTCATCATTATAGAACCACCGCGCCTAGGTGACGAGACTGGTAAGGCCAAGGGGATAAATCTTTTGTAGTGGTTGTATAAATTGTGTTTGCATCCAATGGTTGACGATTTTAAATCGAATTCGATCTGATTTTAAAGTCTTGCTTAGATGTATTCCATATTACTGATTTAAAATTTTAATGATTTACCCAGTGCACTGAAATATATAAGTTTGTTAATAAATTAATAATTAAGCTACTGAAAATGAAACCATTATATATTGGTTATCTCATAACTTTAATTTTGTAAATGGTATAAAATGAATAATGATTTTATAAAATTAATTTAGGCCTAACCATACTAACACATTTAATAAGTTTAGTAATTTATAACTTTTTGACTGTTAATAGGCGTAACTCTTTACTACCCTAAGACCCTTATTCATATAAATATCAATAATATTTTATGATCATTTTAATAATATCACACCTTTAATTTAAACAGGTCGTTGGATCTGGGTGGGTAACTGCCTGCACAAGACAGCCGTGGCCACAGGAGTAATCTCCCTGGTGGCCAGTTTGCTGTGGCGGGATCGCCCCATCATTGCAGCTCCCGCTTGTGCCCTGTCGCTCTTTTGCACAGGACTCTACACTGTCTCCTGGAACTATGATCCTTGTTGTCAATATCAGGTCTTAAATCCTCCTCCGACATCCTCTGGTCTGCAGGTCAATTAACCCATTCGTGTACACTTTTACCAGGTGGAAAACAATGAGACCGTGCTGGAGAAGCTGCCGCTAACAGATGTATCCTCGCCTGTGATCCTGGGCTACTCGCCCAACTCCAAAACCAAATACGTGCACCGCGGTGTATCCTTCCTCTCGGCTGCCCTGTGCGCCTGGCAGATCTGGAGGTCCTACAAGTAAAGAATGCAACAGAACCCCTAAAATGGGCAGCTGCTGGATTGGGCCACTTCCCTGCGGAGGCGTTATACCCTATATATATAGCCAATAAGTTTAGTCTAGGCACCTAAGCGAATGCATTTCTTTTAGATTTTCGAACGATTTTAACTCACTGTCTTGTCTTTCGTGAAATTTTAAAAGTCTCTGTCCAGTGTCCAGTATCCAGTATCCAGTGTCCAGTGTCCTTGTCAGTGTTTCTGTGGCTGCCACTTGGACTGGCAAGCATGCTCATAGCCTATTACGGTTCAAAGGCCTCAGTTAGTCTTAAGGAAGGAGCGTTCCCTGCTCCTGAGCAAGCACTGTAAATTAAGCAAAGCCAACTTCTGTGTATAAAACGAAAACCCATTTATGATTGTTATTAGAGTCTAGTTGAAGATATCAGAAAGCGAAAGGCAAATAAACGCAATGCGAATGTTACTCCAGGCGGCCTTTAAACTTCTTCCTAAGCTAAGAGAACGTAAGAGTGTTTTTTCGCTAAGAGACGGCTTGATGGTGACCAGCTGATGACTTACGGAAATGTTTTGCTTCATGCGGGCTCTCTCCCTTGTTCTCGTTTCAGTCGTTTAATGCATTCTGCTGGCACTGGTTGCCAGCGTCAACTCGTCGATCAAGTGGTGCGTTCCAGTGCGATCCGGTACGGGGCTGACCCACACAACAGTCCACAGCACCACCTTGATGCCGAGGCTGCAGCAAGAGCAGTCTAGCCATGGACTCCAGCCACATAGCCGTGAGAATGGGTAAGTCTGACGACAGATAAGCCATCGCCTCGATAAGATAACCCAAAGGGGTGGGATAAATCAGCTTCTTGGCTGGATACCATCCCAGTTGGTGGCAAGATGCCGATCTATGCTCTGCCATCACTATGCCCACCAAGATCACAGCGGTCTGGACAAAATGTGCCACTTGACCAATCGTCTGCTCACTGTTATCTTGGCTAAGTCACATTATTTGTTTTTTGCTCTATATTTCGCTACGATAGCACGTAGTCCCTCGCCCTCTGGAGCTTCCCAGTCTTCATATGGCAGCTTTGGATCAACCGAAGATATTGTTCACATTCGCATCGACGAGGATTGCGGAGTCAGCGAATCCACTCCCTTGCTGGCGGCTACTCAGAGGTCCAGCAAGTCGCCCCCATCCTCTCCAGCCTTCACCACATCGCCCTCCCCCCGAAGCCGAGTCCTCACAAAAGACTGCCTTAATTGGCAATCTGTGGTGTTTCTGGTCATGTGCGCCTCCGCCTTGGGACTGGCCGCGTATTTACTCTGGCGACAAAGTGAGTTTTCCAGCTGATGGAGGTCCCTCAGCGTGCACGAGTATGTGCTCAATTCGTTTTTGTTGAAATAAATCTGAATTATGTAGCTGTGAGTTATGATAAGCTGACTATGAGTGAGTTTTTGTGGGCCGGCGGAAATGGTCAACGATCAATGTGCATTCGCAGATTGCCTAAAAACTAGCTTTATGAAATATAAGTGATAACAAAAATTTAAAGAATTTTTGTATTTTATTTATTGACTCTAAAATAAATTTAAAAAAATTTTTACATGTAAATTATAAAATAATTTTTAAAATATTTAGAAATTTACAAAACATTTTTGAAAATATGTCTTACACTTTTCAAGAGAGTTTAGAATAATATTAATTTTAATAACATTTTGAGAATATATAAAACTTACAAAACATTTTTGACTTTTTTTTTTTACTTAAAATTAAATAACAAGAATTTTAGTATGTAAATTATAACATAATTTGGAAAATGTTTCAAAAGTTTTGAGAATATATACAATTTTAAGTAGATGACAATTATAAATACAAATTGAAAAAAAAAAACGAATATGATTCGGTTTTATTTTAAGCTTCTAAATACAGATTGGCCTTGTGATTCATTCTTTAATTTCTCGAATTTTGTGTTATAGGTTGACAAAGAAATTAAACGACTGAATCACTTTGCATTGCTTGCAGCCCAAATGTCGGACCTTGGCTATCGGCTCAGTCTCGTCGAGCATGATATATGGTCGGAAATGGATCTGCAGGGTCGGGGAACTCCATTGGATGCGACCAATGTCTTCACCGTGTTGTTCACCCACACGGAGAGCGAGGAATGCCGTGAGGATTGTCCGGAGGTGTTACACAAACTGCAGGTGAGTTAACTGGATTATATATTAGCTTTAAGAAAAAACCTATTCAATTTCGAAGAGCTCCCTTTTGGAGGAACTGCCCTACAATTTTCTGATCACCGGCGACTGTCAGGCCTATAAGATATATGGATGGGAGTATCAGAGCCACTTCTCAAAGGATCTGCCGGGAAGTAGTTACCTAGTAATTGCCTTTGTGGGCAACTTTGACCGCACTTCGCCCAGTGATTGCCAACTGAAGGCGGCTCAGGCTCTGATCCTGGAATCCCTGAAACGCAAGAAGCTGCAACCGGATTACGAACTACTCGTGGTGGGCAACCATGCGGAGGCACTGCAGCGGGAGCTCCAGCACTGGCCACGCTATGCCAGCCACCGCAGGATCAATTGAATGAAAGCACGGGTTCCAAATTATTCCTCTCGTTTATTGTACGCCAAACACACAAACAGTATACAAAGAAGCGCAGGATGAGTAAAGCGGGCGCCACCGAAAAGCGAAGCGGGGATCCCCCGGATCGGCTCTGGCCAGGATCCGGATCGGGGGACCGGCAAAGCGATGCGCATGGGACTGATTAACAGGAGATAATGCCTAGGACTAAGGTCTTACAACTACAACTAGAGCTGGGTCGCACTGGCTAGTCGAACTCCAGCTTCCGAAAGCTGCCCTCGATGGACTCGATTTGAGAAACGAAGTTGGGGCCGCCGTTGGAGGCCTTCTCCGCATTGAAACTGCTTCTTCGCTGGATGCCACGATCGGAGAGCAGGACGATCTTGTCCAGGCCGAGGATCAGGTCCCGCTTGGCCGACAGCTCCTGTTTCCACAGCTCGATCATCTCGCGCATGGGCATGGTGCCGCCCATCTCCAGCGGCAGACAGCCCTGGTCCACGGCCTTCATCAGCTCCTTTTCGCTGCCGTAGATGATCAGGCGCTGCTTCATCTTGGAACTGACCCGATTCTTCACGAAGTCGATCAGCCACTTGAGCGTGGAGGGCACGTTGATGAGGTGGATCTCCTTGTGGCGCATGGGCAGCGACTGTTCGCCCCACTTGAAGATGCGGGCGAACTCCGTGGGATTCCAGTTGGTCACGTGCGCCGTCGAGACGCCGGCAAAGTCACCCACATGGGTCAGGCCCGTGATCTGGGTCTCCTGGTCCTCCATCAGGCACTCGTACGTGAGGAAGTGCGCCTTGGCCTGGTCGCAGCTGGTGTGGATTTTCGGATTGAGCCCCTTCGCATTGATGACCACCACCCGGCGACCGTGCTTGTCCCGCTGCGGCACCGCAAAGATGTACCCCTGGTCGATGAGGTCGCCCAGCCGCGGCTCAAGATAGTCCAGCTGGGTGCTCATGTGCGGGAATGTGCGTCGAATGTTCAGATACTTGAGCAGCGTCTGCTCCGCCATGGGAATACTGAACTTCTTGGCCCGCAGGAAGCGCAGCAGGAAGGTGTCGTCGCCGCGCACATTCTGCAGATCCTCGTTCTTGGCCACCCAGTTACGCAGCTGCTCCAGACTCTGCTCCCGGGTGCACCGATCCTCGCGCAGCTCCCGTTTGGCGATCTTCAGCAGCGCCTCTGGCAGGGATGTGCTCTCTCCCTGATCCTGCACCATCTTCGTCTCCTTCATCACTTGCTAGTCTCTGCTATGTGGTGAATACTCTGCGGTCAAGCAAACAGCATGGATTGCGGCCACTACAAAGAAAAGATACGAAGTGAACTGATCAGCACGGGACTTTCCATAAGCGAATGGTATGATTAATACTAAGTTCACCAAAAGATATGGTTGATCAAGTGCCTTAAAATATATTTAAACATGAATTGCTTAGTAATTATTTCTTTAAATGCTCCTTTATACAATTTGTTGTCGAAGTTTTAAACAAAATTCGATATGTATAGCTTATTTCCCTTTTTGCACAGAAAGTATTTAATTTGCTACTATTTTAAAATAAATAAAATTAACATTGTCCCAACATATAGTGTTTAAACTTAAACTTCCTAAAGATATGGTTTATCAAGTTCTTACAAATATATTTAAACACAAATTGTTTAGTAATTAATTTTTATAACGCTCTCTTACACAATTTGTTTTGTTGTTTTGAACTAAACGCCCTTTGCTCAGAAATTATTTAAAGTAATATTATGTATTTTAAAATAAATGAAAATTAGATTTTTAAAAATATTGTTTAACAAGTGCTTCAAAATATATTTAAACAAGAGATGTTCAGTTTAGTTTTTTAAGACTCTTTTATTCAGTGTTTTGTTTATGTTTTTATCTTAGCTTGCACAGAAAACATAAAAAGTAAAATTATACATTTGTAGTTAAGTAAAATGGATAAGATCCCATATAATTGTTTAAATACTAGAAAATAACAAAGAAAAAAATAAATAAGCAAGTAAGCAAGCAATTCAAAAAGTTTTCATACATATTTTGTAAAATTACTAAGGTTGAAAGATATCTTTTCCCACCTACCTTCTATCGTCAAGAAATAAAATATTGATTTACAATTCTTCATATTATGTATGAGATTTACAAATGGTCTTCCCATCGAAATTAGTTCAAGGTCTCAGCGATCTCAAGGCAATCGCCACCGGATCACGGATGGCCTGTAATTTGCAAATATTTGCTAATTAAAACTCACAAGAAACGCGTATTTGTTAAAACAACCGACCAAATGCAAATGGACAATACATTTTCAACGAACTCGCCAGCGACGAAATGAAAAAATGTATAATTTATTCACTTCTTTGTTGTATGTGAGACCCATAAACCGCCGCATAGCATTATGGCCACATATAAAATATGGCAAAAAGTCCAAAAAAAAAGCGAAACCTCAAAGGGGAATTGGTTCAAGTTCAAAACTGTTTACCGAAAGCGGGTCAAAAACTGGGTATTGAAGGTATAACAAAATGCGGTTAATAATTAGCCAGTACAAGAAAGAGTTTCACTGTTTGCCCGATTCCGAGCTCATTGCATAATCTCAGAGGGAGGAAAAATGAAGAAAGCGGCTGAACAATGCCCCCTGTTTTGGATTCAACTTGTTTGACTTGGCCGGATAAACAAAGTGCGATTATGGGATGCACTAACATGCTCAGCTTTATCCCAATATTTGCACACAATTTGTGATCCGTGATCTGTGAGCTGTGTGAGCTACGGCTCGAATTGATTGTTTAACTGCCGCTGGGCCCTTTGTCTTTCGCTGTTGAGGCCCTCGCATAATCAAAATCCGTTTTCCCATGACTCCGACCGACATCGACCCATTTGCATATGACTTCGATTCGTTGCGAACTGTGTACCATTTAATTGATTTCTTTTTGGTTAAAAATTTGCATTCGCTTTCGGTTTCGAATATGCGTCGGTTTTTCAATTTTCGTTTTGTCGGTTTTCCCCCATCTGGAAATGCGATTTCAAAATGTCATTGGGCAATGCGCCCGTTGGAACCCTCTCGCCATCTCTCTCACGCGCCATCTACCCCTCTCTTTCACCTGAGGTTTCAACATGTTTATTAGGAGCTCGTTGTGGCTTGCGTGGCTTTTGTGTGGCTAACTGGCCAATAATGCAACAGGCGGTGCAATAGTGGCTCATTTGGCAATGCCACAGCCTCATGTTCTCTTGGCTGATTGATTTTTAAGAAGCTAGAAAAGTTGATTATTTCAGTACTCCGTAGGTGTAAGTCAATTTAATATTAAAGGTTAATTGGGTTTCAAGTTATCGTGCAGTTTTTGATTGCTTTTTGATTGATACATATGTGTATGAAAAACTAATTTTATTTTGCGCTAGAGTGGTAATTTTCATTCTTCACGTTTTCCAATTTCCTTTAAGATTTTTATCTATGGTCAAGTCAAAAAAAAAGACACAAATCTTGAGGTTTGTTTACCGCTTTAGTTTGAAACCACTCTAGAAAAACTAGTTGCATTAATTTCTTAAACCACACCAAATTATATTTTTTAATTCTAGATCCTTTAAGAAATCTCATAATATTAGTTGTTTTATTTTGTTTGAACTCTTTTAAAAATATTAATGAATTTATTTTGAATGAAAAATTATTGTAATCTCAAGTAATGTTATCATTTAGCTTTGTTTTTTTTAATTATTTGGTTAACTGCAACATGGAGCATATTTTGATATATATTTTTTTTTAGGGACTATTGAATCCCCAAACTTATCACAATCACACACACTTTGGCACTTACACCTTCTTTCAGAATCCTTTTATTTCGATAGCACGTCACACGCTGCGTATGAGCAATGTCAAACGCCCGTTTTGCAATCCTTGATTTTGGGTCTTGAGCTACGACTAATTTATCCTCGAGTTGGCAATGTCAAACGATATTCGAGAGACGACGCGCCGATTGAAAAAAGTACGTCCAAACAACGCGGGGTCCAAACAACGAATGACGCTGGCTGGAGAGGCCTCTCATCTAGCAAAACAACGAAAGGCGAGGAGAAACGAAAATTGTTAAAGAAATTAACTGGATTATATAATGCCCACACAGACACATGAACACCATATAAACAGCAAAGCCGAGTGCCTGTGCGGGATTCGAATGCAATCTGATCGGTTTGTTCGGTTGGTAAATGCGGCTGCTGCATGGAGTGAACAAGTTTTTGGCCAGCCGAAACTGAAAGTACGAAGTACACGAACCTTTTGGCCACATTTTGAGGAGAGGAGAGCCATAGTCAGAGCTATAGCCTGATCCCAGCCATCAAAGATAGCCATAAAGTATTAAAGAGTTGCTGTTGTTAAGCAATGGCAGTCAGTCTGTCAGTCAGTTGGTCACTTGGCCAGTGGCTGTAAATCAGGTTCGCTGGCAGTTCATTTTCGACTTTTCGCCCCAGCACTTACACATTATTTTTATTTTTTTTTGCCTTTTCATGCCCATTTCACTTATTAGGCTTATTGAAAACCATTGCTCACGGGGGGACTGAGACAAAATTTGCATTTTCATGGCCCGACTCCAGGTGGCAGTGAAGTGAGTGAGTGTGCTCGAATGGTCGGTCGCCAACCTTGAAAATGCAATCCACCGATGCGATGGTAATGATGCTGTCGCCTTTGCTAATAGCCAAACACCTAATGATCACCCGGCGTATACGTCATCCGATGGTGATACTTGCCCAGCTCTAGCTCTCCAGTTTCAATTCGAATTGCGACTGCAGTTTACGGCTGGGAAATGCGTTGGCCCTTTAGACTCTTTGTGCTCTTTGGACCCAGGGCCATGGCGTGGGCTTGGGTATTTGGGCATTTGGGTATTTCGGTATTTGGACATTTCGCAACCCGACGAAGGGCGTAGGTCCAATGATCGTATGCATGCTAATCTAATGATTCGTTTCCGTTCGCCCGTGGGCAGGGAGCAATCATGGGGGGATTGGATAGGAGTGCTAAACTTGTCATGATACTGCAGTGTGAAAATGC